ACTCTCGGTGCCTTCTTCGTGGCCTCACGACGTGTCCTCTGAGAGTGCCGAGCCTACCCGGGCCACAGGTCAGCCAAACGCAGGTCCACTGGGGGCACCGTCGTGGAGGCCGTCAACCACACGTCCAGCTGGTCTGCTGGCAGGTACTGAGCCACCAAGGCTGGTACGGCCACTCCACGAACGATATAAGGGGTACGCCCTAGACAGGAGTCTCGTGTGATATCACAAATCACCCTCCTGTCCAGGATGTCCGCAGGGTTATTAACCCTTACACTGCTCAGGGGTCCTTGGGACATTTACACCCCTGGGCGCAAGAAAAAAAAAATTTCAAAAAATTTTTGTCGTCTTCTGAACATGTTAACACTTTCGCGCTCTCGGCGAAGGTCACTCAGCCAACCGTATGTGCGCGCGGCGTTTTTATGGCTTAAGCATAAAAACAAAAATGTGTATACTCTTTTTACTTTTCTGACCTTAGTTTTCATGCTACGTATTTCATTTTGGTATCAACGTGTTCGCAATAAAATTCTCTAGAAGAACATCAGTAAAAAAAGTCACGAAAGCTATAGAGATACCAGCATGAAATAAATAAGTATGAAGATGAGTCGCCGTGAGCGCTCAACAGCAACAAAATGTTTTTACTCTTGGGATTATTATCACCTCTACAATTGTCCTACAGCCTTAATTTTGGTATCAATGGACTCCCAATAAAATTCCCAACACGGTGATATGAATATAATCGTAGAATAATGGTCCCGGCCCACCCGCAAGAGTGTGGGAAGTGGGCGCACTGTTACCCGGTAACGGTGACCGGACGACACATGTGCGAAACGTTGCTTTGAAAGTTTATACTTATTTCACTGTTCTGATATTATTATTGTATGTATGTCATTCATTTTTGTGGCAATGTTTTCGCAATAGAATGTTCTATGAGCTTAATTATACTACACAAACTTGGACCAAATAGGTGTACTTACCAAGGGAAGGCTGGTTGTGGAACAGTAAGTTGAGCATTTGTTCTTCACTCCACCTTCTTCAGGTTCTTCATTCCTGAAGTTGCTCAACAGATGGTTTGTAGGTGGAGTGAAGCTGTTGCGGGTGGTTACTTCTTCACCACCCAATACACCTGTTTCCGGTGGTAATTGGTGTAGCAGGGAACAACACAGAGTGCAACACCACAGGTCTTGCATCCATAGTTCGTGTCCTTCCTTTTACCGGACCGTGCGCATGCATGACACTTGAGACGTTTGGGCAGTCTGTAAATTTCATGTTTCAGTTTGTAGTTCATGCGATTTTCTGAATCAACAATAGGGCGGCCAGATCCTCTCGCTGGAGGTGTAACAGGAGTTGCAGGAGAGTCAGATTCATCTGACAAAACAGTTTCGTCAACTGGCAGTGTGGCAGACATCTCGGGTTCAGATTTGTTGTCTGCTTCATCTTGAGGTGGTGTAGTGAACAAAGGCCGCCTCACACCAGATGGTCCGGGAGTTGGCATGGCGTCAGCATTGGCAGGAGCTGTGTCATCATTTATGTCTGGAGCGTGCCGCAAGTGTTGAGATGATGATGTTGTTTTAGGCCACTCCTCTGTGTCCCAGTGCAATAGGGCCCAGATTGCCACTTCGTGGAACTGTAGGGCGTTAGCTTTTTTCGATCAGTTGTGTTGTATTTGTACAAAACATAGGCATTATGCAATGCCATTTGCAGGAAATAAAAGGTAATCTTTTTGGTCCACTTGTGAGTTTTCCTGGTAAAATGGTAATATTTAACCATTTGATCGAAGTGGTTCACACCTTTCCTCATCACTCGTTGCCGTATCATTCCCTCTAGCTCTAGGTACGCTATAATCGTTGTGGATTCCAAAATCTTCCTCCAATACCTCTACATCACCTTCAGCTTCTGATAAATCCTCCACAAGGCCTGGAATTTTCGTTGGTGTGAGCTTCACTCCGCTCCACTTCTTAAAAATTTGGGTTATTTTGTCCACTCTCGATGACTTGGAGGCTTCCTTGGGCGTAGAAGTGCTTGGGCCTTGACCTTGATCCATTTTTGATGAAGTAATTGGGTATAATCCACACGGAAACGGGTAAAAATGCTCGAGTTTGGCGCGTGAGGGGAGCGTGATCGACTCACGACACGTGACACGAAAACAATGGGCCCGTCACGTGACCGGGTAGGCCGACGCGCCAGGCGGCCTAGTGGTGAGAAAAAGAACTTCATGGCGCGTCGTTTGAAACAAACCCCAATGAAATCGGATTAAAATTGAATTTTATACAAATATTTTAAAAGTTGACATAACTTTATGTCCACTATGCGTTTACGTTAGACGAAACCGAACGCGCCGGCGCGTCCAGATAGCGCGAAAGTGTTAATTTGTGTCCCCTGAGCACGGAAAAAATAAAAAAAAATCGTAGGTGACATATTTTGGGCGCAATTGACCGAGGAAGTCTGGCAAAAAGTGGGCGTTGACAGAGCGGTCGTCAGACCCGGTCAGCGTCACCCGCGCTGACAGATGGGAGTTGCCACAAAGATATTATTACCTAATTGTTTCAATGTTTCCGATTGATTTTTTCTTAGTTTTTTTGCAGTAATATTATTCAATAGTGTGTATTGTAATATATTTATATAATAAAAGTGGTGAATAATGGCTATACTCAAAAGTATGATGTGCATATTAGTGATTCAATTATTATGTTTATAAAACAATAAACAAATAGTTTTGCTGCTATTACACTCTATACACAGGTTATATATAAGTATCTGCATGTTTTGGTCACCATAACGAACCACTAAGTGGGTATTGAGAGTCGAAAAGCAACGAAGAGTTACCGCCACACACCAGCCAGCCACTCGCTGCCACTCCCTCAACACACGCACTAAACTTTCTCCCCCAACAATACCATTTGTGGTGTTATTACACTATATACAGACGTTATATATAAGTATGTATATATTTTGTTCACCACAACTGTATAGCTAAGCTGGTATAGTTAGTTCAGGCACTAAGAGTCGTCGCTATACACAGATGGCGGCTGGCGGCTCCCTCACTCTTTCAAGGTCACACGCACTAAACTTTCTCCCCCAACAATACCGTTTGTGGTGTTATTACACTATATAGACGTGATATATAAGTATGTATATATTTTGTTCACCACAACTGTACAGCTAAGCTGATATAGTTAGTTCAGGCACTAAGAGTCGTCGCTATACACAGATGGCGGCTCCCTCACTCTTTCAAGGTCACACGCACTAAACTTTCTCCCCCAACAATACCTTTTGCAGTGTTATTACCCTATATACACATATTATATATAAATATCTACATGTTTTATGCACCGTAACTGTACACCTAAGCTTGTAGTGCGCCCAAAGAGCATAGTGGCCACCCTCTAAACAGCTAGACAAATCGTGCAGACGACGTCACCTCCGTCACCCATATGGCTCCTCCCAGCATAATCCTTTTGCTGTTATTACACTAATACACACATTATATATAAGTATCTACATTTGTGTTCACCATAGAGAACCACTGACCTGGTATGGTCAATGCAGACAATAACAGGTAGCCACACAGTCAGTAAACGATGCTGTCTCCCTCCATCTCTCAGCATCACTCCTCCCACAGCGCTAATTATTACAACAATCCTGCTATTATCACAACCCTGGTTATTTATATCACAGTCATGGGTCATCTGTAATATTGTCATCGCTAAATAATAACAATTATATATTTATTCTGACATTTTTCGGCGATGCTGTGGTCACAAGCTGAACATCAATGCTGTTCGCTCATGCTGCGTGCGCCGGCCTTGGTTGCTCCAACAGTACTGTGCCTCTCACACCTGAGAATATTGCCCACGATTTTTTTTTAAAATGGCATCTGTTTACAAGAGCCCTGAGGAAGCTACTGTGAACCCCGTGTAGCCGCGGGCCATTTGAATGAGGCCTGGCACCCTATGGCGTATATATACGCCATGCGCACCATGGGACATGTTACTCAGGGCGTATATATACGCCATGCGCAGTTTAAGGGTTAAGTCTAGCCAGCCTGCGGTCTATCCCCATGCCGACAAAGCCTTTGTCGCTTTGGGTCAACGGCTGCAGCGTGTCTCGACTTCAAGTTGAAGTGTGGAGCACCGACCGCCTTCCGGGCAAGTACCCTTCTTTATTTTGTCTTTGGTGAAGTAGCTCTGGGGAGCCGTAGGGGCTTCTCGCAGAAAACAAGCGTTGAATGTAATGAAACACCATTTTCTGGGCAAGTCCCGGAAGTTCTCTGACAACCCTCCCTCCCTCCCTCCGGTCGGCGGTTTACGTGTATTTTGATATCCAGCCTTGGAACTGCAGGGTGGATTGCCGGCGCAGCGGTCTGGGGCTCCCCCTTTCCCCTCCCGGGGAGGGGAGAGCTGCACAGACCTGCAGCACGGCTCATGTGACGTCATTCTTCTTTGCTCGTTTTCAATTGAGGAGTTTTGTCCACTCGTTTGTCTTTTTGCATTTTGTTAACCAGAATAGGGGTTTATTTTGTGGTGCTTACCTTTCTGGGTGCATGTCCCAGTCGATGGCAGATATAGAATGCTCCAAAATCACGTGTGTATTCTATGGTCCATTGCTCCTTGTGCTTCTCTGAGGGGGCCAGGTTCTGGCTTGTGGTCCCCGGTAGGCCTAGAACTCCATCCACATCGACTGATGACAAAGTTAGGGATATCCATATCAGCCTAGATAGCTTCAGGAAGCCTCCAGGACTCACCCAGAAAATGGTGTTTCATTACATTCAACACTGGTTTTTTACTAGACTTCCTCGTCCTATTGCGGCCAAAATATGCGACCTATGATTTTGTTATTATTTTTCCCATGATCAGGGAACCCAAATGAACACTTTTATAAGACTTTTTTTTTTTTTTTTTTTTTTGCGTGTGCTGGTGGGCATTGAAGGCCAAATAGCCCAGAGCAACTTAGGGGTTAATGTTTAATTTAATTTGTTAATCCCTCATTGTTTTCTTTTGCAGCTCATCCATACACCAGGAGGATTAAATTTGCTGTGCCAACATCAGGTGCCGTGAATGTCATGTAAGTGGCAGAAACACGATATATATTTGTGTGTCATTACTGAGTATCATAGAAAACAGCAGTGTAAAAAATACTGCATTTACTGCTTCATCGCTTAGGATCTTGAAGCTGAGCTGATTACTACAGCACACTCCAGAGACACCCTTATCAATCTTTTGACACATATTCATGTGCACCATTCATCTGAAGTAATCCTTGTGTGTTACTAACACTTTTAAGTTAATTGAAGCTGATGTAGATTCCAAGTGAAATGAGAATATTTAATTAATATTTATTGAATTTCATTTACGTTTTTAGCATGGAATATTGTGTGAGAAAAATATTTAATTGTTACTGTACTTTAAGTAAAATCTTTGAAAAACTATTGTATAGAAGTAGATAACTGCTGTATCACGAATATAACATTGCAAGTTCAGTTACTGTGTATTGTGAAGGAATCTTAATTGTTGTGATGAGAGGATCACATGTCTCTCTTTACTTTGTCCCTTCATGTCACTGTTAATCAAAATTCCTGTATCATCTAACTACACTTAGACATATATGCACATTTGTAAATATAGGAGTCTTAGCATATTATTGTGCAGTGTAGGGTAATGATGATCATGTAAACACTTTTCTTTTTGACTGTTATTAATGAACTATATCAGTACTGTACTTGATAAACATACAGCATTGTATATTTAGTGTAGTGAAATTATTTTGGTGTTCTGTGGTTAGAATATTTATCTAATCACATTTTACTTTGATAACGCACATGGCAGTGTACATTGAAAAAATAATTAAAGCTAGCATTCAGTGTGTGTATTCCTTTAGAATAGATCTGCCCGAAATGCTATGCGTGTTAATGGATTTGCATGAATGTAAAAATACCTTTCTTATGTAATCTCACAACCCATTGTACCTACTTGCAAATAAATTATTATTATTATTATTATTATTATTATTATTATTATTATTATTATTATTATTTATTATTTTGGGAATTAAAGTTGTGTAAATCACATCCCACACGCATTCAGAAATAATTAAAGTTTTTAAGTGTATTTTTTGTGAGACTTGACTTAGGATAAAACTCAAACAAAATCTTCCTAGAATATGCAAAACTATTCACATAGTAAAAATGTCACTTACTATTGATGTTTCAAAACAGTTCTGAAAGAAAGCATTAACAAATATTTCCTATAAAAAAATAAACTTTTGGTATAAGTTAAACAAAACAATTGGTAGATTATACATAACTACATAGTTATGGCTTCTGGAACTACCTCCCAGACACCTTCATCTTTCACTACCGACCACATTAATGCTCACTTAGAAAAATCTAGTGAAGCAAAGCAAATGAGAGTTCATTCAGAAGACAAACCATATCAGTGTTCAGAATGTTTAAAAGCCTTTTCACAAAAAAATAATCTAGTAAGACACATGAGAACTCACACAAAAAAGAAACCCTATTCATGTTTGGAGTGTCTTAAAAAATTTTCACATAAATATAGTCTTGGAATTCACATGAAAACTCATACAGGTGAGAGACCATACAAGTGTTCACTGTGTCAAAATGCTTTTTCACATAAACTTATTCTAATAACACACATGAGAACTCACACAGGAGAGAAACCATATAAATGTTCAGTATGTTTGAAAGACTTTTCACAGAGAAACAATTTAATGAGACACATGAAAGTTCATACTGGAGAGAAGCCACATCAGTGTTTGGAGTGTCTAAAAGACTTTAAACATAAATATAGTTTAAAAATACATATGAGAACTCATACAGGTGAAAAGCCATATCAGTGTTCTGTATGCCAAAAAGTCTTCTCACAGAAACTTACTCTAGCAACCCACACAAGAACTCATACAGGAGAGAAGCCATTTCAATGTTCAGTGTGTCTGAAAGAATTTTCACAAAAAAATAATCTAATGATTCACATGAGAACTCATACAGGAGAGAAACCTTTTAATTGTTCAATGTGTTTAAAAGTCTTTTCAATTAAAAAAAATTTAGAAATGCACATGAGAACTCATACAGGAGAGAAACCATATCAGTGCTCGGTGTGTCTAAAAGACTTTTATAACAAATACGACTTAGAAAAGCATTTTAGAGTTCATTCTGGAGAGAAACCATATCAGTGCTCAGTGTGTCAAAGACATTTTTCACAACAAAATAGCCTTGCCACACACATGAGAACTCATACAAAAGAGAAGCCATATCGATGTTCAATGTGTCTAAAAGACTTTGCAACAAAGCCTGCTCTTGGAAAACATGTGAAAACTCATACGGGAGAGAAACCATACCAATGTTCTGTGTGTTTAAAAAAGTTTTCAGAAAAACATAATCTAGTGAGACATATAAGAACTCATACAGGGGAGAAACCTTATCAGTGTTCAGTGTGTCTAAAAGAATTTTCACAAAATGATATTGCAAGACATACGAAAACTCACACAGGAGACAAGCCCTATCAGTGTTCTGTGTGTTTTAAAGATTTTTCAATAAAATGTAATCTAGTAACACACATGAGAATTCACACAGGTGAGAAACCATATTGTTGTTCTGTTTGTGAGAAAGACTTTTCACAGCTGTCTACTCTAAGAACACACATAAAAATTCACAAACAGAATCCATAGCACACTTTTAGAGTTTTAAAGGCAGCTTAAAATCTGCTTTGGTAATTCACAGGGGATTTATAAATCACATCACATTACATAAATCATAAATTACTGCTAGAGATCAGTCAATTATGCCCATATGCATAGAGGAAAAGTGTTGAGAAATCTTGGGCCTTTGATGTTGATTGAGTTCACTCTCAGCATGCCTATTGCATCTCTGCTTTTCAGTGGGGCTATTTTGCGCATCTTAGCATCCCTTCTGGTCTCATGTGGTGCTATTTCTGCTTGCAGATTTAGAACCAGTCCTCCTTGTATTTTCCAAACATAAATTATAATGTAAATCATATTTTTGAAACCACTACAGGTTTTCAATTAAATTTTCAGTCAAGTTACCTGTTATCTGTCACTTATTGATAGATATTCAGCAATGTGTATATTCCTAGAAATCCCATACTTAAAATGAAATTAGTACTGCACAGGCCAAAAATTCTGGTAAAGTTTCACTGAAGAATTAGTTAGGTTATGTGGTCAGTTGAGAAGCATTAAATGTTTTTGCATTAATAAACTGTGTAATTCTTCTGTATTTTCTTTTCATCATTTACAAATAGTAGATTAAATTGTTAGATGTGAATTTATATATGTAATGAATGAAAGGCAAGCAAGTCTTCCCTGACAGTAGTCAGCCTCTGTATCACACACACACTTTTCCCCATAAAACATTGACAGTTGAGAGGCGGGCCGAAAGAGCAGAGCTCAACCCCTGCAAGCACAACTAGGTGAATATATAAAAGGTGTTACAAAAGTTGGAGCAATAGGCAGGAGTAAAAGATAAGGTGCTCCAGTGGATAAGGGAGTATCTAAGCAATAGGGAACAGCGAGTAACTGTGAGGGGAGGGAGACATCAGAGTGGCGAGATGTCACCAGCGGAGTCCTACAGGCTCTGTACTTGGACCCATTCTATTTCTGATATGTAAATGATCTTCCAGAGAGTATAGACTCATTCTTCTCAATGTTTGCTGATGATGCAAAAGTTATGAGAAGAATTAAGACAGATGAAGATAGACAGAGATTACAGGACGACCTGGAGGAATGGTCTAGAAAATGGCTACTAAAGTTTAACTCAGGAAAGTATAAAGTAATGAAATTAGGGAGAGGGAGCAGGAGGCTGAACACAAGGTACCATCTGGGAGGTGAAATTGTGCAAGAGTCAATTAAAGAGAAAGATCTGTGGTTGATATTTATTTATTTATTTATTTATATATATATATACAAGAAGGTACATTGGGTTTGTGAGAATACATTGGATAGTACAGCATTTACATTCTTGTAAAGCCACTAGTACGCACAGCGTTTCGGGCAGGTCCTTAATCTAGCAGATAATTTTAAGTAGGTAATTTCAATCAGAATTGATAAATGATAATATGATATCACACCGAACCTGTCCCCAGACACCCCACATCAAAAGGATATCATCAACAGCATATGTTAGATTGCCCAACATAAGAACTGCCTTTAGAAACATATGTAAGGAATCATTCAAGACCTTGTATATCACCTTTGTCAGATAAATCCTGGAGTATGCAGCTCCAGCCTGGAGTCCATGCCTAGTTAAACAAGACAAAGTTAGACAAGATTCAGAGGTATGCCACCAGACTCATCCCAGAACTGAGTGGTAGGCGGAAGTCGTGAAGGTCACTTGAATTGCGAAACTTGTCGAGGAAAGGGTACAGGAACCTTGCATCCCTGGAAGACAGAAGGGTAAGGGGAGATATGATCACCACCTACAAAATTATCAGGGGAATTGACAGGGTGGACAAAGACAAACTATTTAGCATAAGTGGAGCATGGACAAGGGGACACAGGTGGAAACTTAGTACCCAAATGTGCCACAGATATGTTAGAAAGAATTTTTTTAGTGTCAGGGTAGTTAACAAATGGAATGCATTAGTCAGTGTTGTGGTGAAGGCTAACCCCATGCACAGTTTCAAATGTAGATTTGATTGAGCCCAATAGGCTCCAGAATCTTTACACCAGTTGATATACAGTTGAGAGGCGGGATCAAAGAGCCAAAGCTCAACCCCCGCAAGAACAACTAGGTGAGTACACATCATAATATCCCATCTAATTCTAAAAGTAATTATTGTATCTAATAAATTAATAAATTTTATATAATAATGTGAAAGTTATGGTATTGAGACAGCTCTATATTATATCTTATTTTAAATGCAGTGTACACTTGTTTATCCAGGTTAATTATGACCAGGTGGGATGTGAAATATGTGACACTTTGCACTACAGTCAAACTTTTAAGCAATTTTACCTTTTATTTATTTTGGGTAACATATTTTCTGAGGGGAGCCCTGTTGGCTTCCTGGCACTGTCAGACTAGTATTAGCTATATTAGTCTGGAGCTTCAGTCATATAGAGTTCTATGCCTACCGGGAACCACAAGCCAGAACCTGGTTCCCTCAGAGAAGCAAGGGCGCAATGGTCTATGAAAGCTCCACTCTTTGAGAGTATATTCATGTCTGCCTTCAACCAGGATTAGGCAGCCAGAAGAGTAGATGCCCCAAAACTAACCCCAACTGGAGGAAAAGTGCAACCTAAGACTGAACAGAGCCCAAGATCTCCTCCCGAGAAAAACAAAGTAACAAGCAAATTACCATCAACCAGACGTGCCACTCATTTCCCCGCTCCACCGAGCCGGCCACTAGACTGCCAGTTTGTCGATTGAAGCCGGTTGGGGCTGACGTCTACTCTGGATGCCATTTTATGTCAGGATTTTGCCTCTAGTGGTTGTACCTGCTGTGCATTGGGGCATTGGCCAGGAGTACCAGTACTTAATGCTGCATGCATTTAGGGTGATCTTCACTAGGCACCCTGTAAGTACATCCCTTGGATCTCGGGGTTATCTTCCCTGGCGCTTTCGGGTTTTCACTCTAGTAGGGGTTGCTGTCACTTGACATTGGCCTTGCCCTTGGGGTTAGGTGGTGGTCTTGGTGCTTTTGTGTGGCCCTGGGTGGAGGGCTGTTTATAACTTGTTGGAGCGCACGGTGTTGCTCAGCTCGCATACAAGCAGTGGCCATGACTCTCTCTGGCCTCCAGTTGTTGTGGAGCACTTTCGGGGTTTCTTTTCATTCTTTTTAGTTTTTTCCTGCCTGGTGGAGGGCTGCCTGGCTTCCCATTAGGTATGCCTAGGTTTCGTTTAGTAGTTCTCCACTCGGCCCCCGAGGTTGCTCCCTTCACAGGGGTCAGTTTGCCCAGTATATAAATGGGATTCCACTGGCTTTGCAGCACTGCCTGCCACTGCCTTTGCTTCCCGTAGGGACACCGTCCCCTGCGTGTTGACGATCTGTTTTGTCTCCTTCATGCTGCTGGTTGGGTCGATGACACCTTCGACCCAGAATCATGCGAGACTTGTTCCCCGATCATTATCTAATGTACCCATTCATCTTTGGGAGATGTTAGGGGTCAAGCAGCTTTTGGGTTATATGCTTTAGTTGTTGCAACGCGCTAGGTTGATTGCCTGCTCGAATGCCCCGTTTTGGTTTTAGGAACCCAGACTTGGGGGCATTGGTCTCTTCGACCTTGGTTCAGTCCACACCCCCGAGTCCTTCCCCTGTTGGTGTGGTTCGCCCTGCTGCCGGCTCCCAAACATATGAGGGTTTCGAAGTCAGGGCAGGGTTTAGTTGGGGATGAGACTCGGGCGGCTCTTGGGGCTGTTCCATTCGATGTGGGGACAGAGGCCTTTGAGCCTTATCCTTCCACTGAGGCTTCTGGGTCTTACCAGCAGACCCTCCCTTCTTTGATGTCTTTCCCCTGGACTCTGTTTTTTCTTCAAGGGTGGAGGGCATGGAAGTCAGCTCTGTCCCGGAGCCTGGTTTTGAGGCTTCCAGGGCTGGGGAGGATTCTGCCTGGGGCACTGGGCCCCGTCTGATCCCCAGTTTTTGGTGCCTTCGGGGCGGGGTTTGCTGTTGCAAGGTTCGGGGTTTTCGTATCCCCCTTCCCTGTTTGAGTTTGATATGGATTCAGCTCTTCCCCGGGTTCGTTTCTGGGTTCCTTTGAGTTCCGTGACTTCATCTTCCAGAGGTTTTCCACCTCTCGTATTTTCCCTGCGGAGGTTCGGGAGGCCCTTGGTGCATACCTCCTGCGAGACGCAGGCTTTGCCTCTGTGATAGACCCAGTCTCTTGAGTTCAGTTCTTCCCCGTATTGCGTGCGTTATGAGGTTCCGGTGTCTTCCTGGCTTGCAGACAGCCCTTTCTTTTCGCTTGGGCATGGCATAGGTTCTGTTGTACTCGCATGCTTCATTGGCGGGAGCTTACTGCAGTAAAGTATTTGCAGGTTTGCCTAGGGGGAGGGGGTGCTTTTGAGCACCTCAGTGCGTGCCTTTCTGCCCCTGTGCCTCCTTGTGAGGTTGGCTTGCTCCAGTTGCACATCCAGGTCCCTTCCCTTTTGGCTGCCTTGGTTGCAGAGGCTCTTCATGCTCGCTTCTGACCTTAGTCCTGCGCTTCTTTTCCCTTCTCAATCTGTCCTCGGACAGGCTTGTAGAGGATGGGGAGGCACTGAATGTCGAGCTGTTGTCTGGTGGTGTTGGCCTTGGTTGCTAGGGCGTCGTCGGCGTTGCTGAAACTATGCGTCTATCCTCCAGGAGGCGGTGTCTCTGTTTGTTGCCTTTCATCTTGGGTGTCAGCAGGCTATCCTCGCTCTCTCTCTCTCTTGATTCAGCTGTGCCGCTGCTTCCTCCGGAGCCGTCGTCGGTGCGGTGTTCACTCTGCACGTAAGTCGACTTCTCAGAAGGGGCGCTGGTCTTTTCGCTGGTTGCCCCATTGACAGGGGGCTGGGGGGGGAGGGGGGGAAGTTTGGCTCTGTTTACTCACCCTTTGTTCCACGATTCATAGACGTTTCAGGTTGTGTCCTCCAGCCTGTGGTGGCGTTGGTCTGCTCCTTCTCGTCTCAGAGGATCGGGGCTGGCTTCTTCCCCTTCGTTTCGTCAGGTCATCCTGGAGTGGGTGCACTTGGGCGTGATTGAGATGACTTTATCCCTTAAGTGGGTTTGTCGCTTGTTTCTAGTGCCAAAATGGGACTGTGCAGATCGATCTTTGGTTCATTCTGGACTTGTCCCATCTGACCCCCTGGATTCCTTGCTCCTCCTTTTTGGATGACCACTTTGTCTCAGGTCTAGCTTCTCTTCGAGCTGGGTTTGTTTCAAGCGAGGAGGCAGCTTTTATTGTCAATCTTTGCTTTCGTTGCTGAACCCGATCTCGACAGACTGACAGTTCTAAAGGTGGCGATTGTGGGGCGTATACACACGATGCACCCCTGGGGGGGCTGCATCGTGTGTCCTTGTTATTGTCTTGTTGGGTGTTCTATCCTAATTGTGACTCCATGGTCACGATAGGGGAGCCGGTCGGCCGAGCGGACAGCACGCTGGACTTGTGATCCTGTGGTCCTGGGTTCGATCCCAGGCGCCAGTGAGAAACAATGGGCAGAGTTTCTTTCACCCTATGCCCCTGTTACCTAACAGTAAAATAGGTACCTGGGTGTTAGTCAGCTGTCACGGGCTGCTTCCTGGGGG